TTAAAAAATAATGGTCAAATAAAAATATTGACTAAGATCTGAAAAGTAAAAAAATAAGAAAAGTATCCCAAACAAAACCTTAAAAAAACAGGAAGAGAAATATTAATAATATATTTATAGCATAGATGTAATTTGCTCTAAATTTAGGGGTGTCAATATTTGACAAGACCCGAAAATCCGACTCGAACCTGACCCAAAAATTTCGGGTTAGGGTCAACTTGTTTCACAAATGGGTCAGGTTCGGATTTTCGGATTCAACCAATTTGAAAAAATGGGTCATGTTCGGGTTGACCCGACAACCTGAACTCAACCCGGGTAAACCCGAGACCTCCTATATCCGTTCGCGCTGATGGCATTGCCCACGGTAGCATCCGCGCTACCCTGTGTTTGCGTCCGCCTGCTCGTGTCGCGGTGCCCTCACTTGCATTGCCAGCGGTCTCATCGGCTCTACCCGTCGTCTGCTCGTCATCGTCACCAACTCGCCGAGCCCACATTTGTCTGCCAACGTGCGCTGTCAGTGCTGTGAGCGTCGTTGAACCGGCCAGGCCCGCGTTCGTCTGCTAGACTCGCCAAGCTAATGTTCGTTGAGTCTGCGTACATTTGTCGGGTTTACAAAATCGTGTCGAGTCGAGTAAACCCAGCAACCCAATGGGTCAGGTCCGAGTTCTAATTTTCGACACATTTGAAAAACCAATTCGGGGCAACCCGTTTGAACCCAGATATATAAGTTCCTGATTCGACCCAAATTCGACCCGAACCCCAAATTTGACATCCCTACCTAAATTTATAAACATTGGCCTTTATGTTATCATGCTACACTAACAGCAGGAATATATATCTTTTTTGACAAATAACCTATATATATATATACACACACGCACACAATCTTTTTCGGTTCGATATGCTGCAGAAGCTGTCATGATGACGACGTAATTAAATATATGAAGAAAATTCCTAATTATTTTTCTTATAATATTGATGATGACCTGCACAAGAAAAAACCTGTAAAACAAAGAAGACTCGCTATTTTTTATTTGTTAATTATATGGATCACGATTTTGCAGAGTTCGTTCGGGACTCTTATTTTTAGGCCACAGTTTGGCGTTCGGAGGACTTCAAGTTTGACTGTTTTGCAAAATGCTTCATTGCTTCTACATACTAATTTGAATTTTTACTCTTATTTAAATCAAGAAGAAGTTTGTTGTGGATTCTTATTCTTAATCTTTATTGTTTAGAGTTTGTAAAGTCTTTGAGATTAGACTTTTTTTTTCCTTGATGTGATGTTTTCTCCAAAGATTTCAACTTTTCTTTGATAGCGTATCGATGATTTTAAAATTTCTGAGTTATTAGAGTTGTTTTTACCTTGCTATTTGACTTTGATTTACCTCCAAAATGTGTAGGGCTATTCAGTAAAGTCTGAGTATGAAAATGTATTTTAATATGATTTTTTATTTACAGACTGATGGAAAATCCGAATGGGTTATTCAGGTACTGGAAGATCTTTTGAGATTGTATGTTCAGAATTTTAGTAGTAGTTGGGAAAACCACATTCTTTTAATTGAATTTGCTTACAACAACAATTTTTAGTCAAGCATAGGATGACTTCATATGAAGTTTTGTATGGTAGAAAATGTAACACCTCGTGGATGAAAGAAATCTCATTGGACCAGCTTTGCTGCATGATGCTACTAAAAAGATCCTTTTGATTAAAGATAAATTAGAAGTTGTGCATGACAAACATAAATATTATTTTAATGCTAAGCATCGGGTCTAGAGTTTCTAGTTGGAGATTTTTGCATATTTGAATATCAGATAAATGAAAGACATTAGTAGGTTTGGTAGAAAAGGAAAGATGAGTTCAAGGTATATTGGACCCTTTGAAGTTTTTGAAATGATTGATATATTTGCCTACAAGTTACAATTGCCAGATCATATGTCTGACATTCACAATATATTCCACATATCGCTTCTAAGAAAATAAATATATGACTTTAAAAATATCTTGTCTACTGAAGAAGTCGAGGCACGTCCAAACTTGATCTAAAAAGAACCAAGGAGGATTTTTTCTTATGATGTTGGAAGGTTAATGAACAAGCATGTTCAATTGGTTAAAATTCAATGAAAGAACATAACTAAGAGATAAGCTACTTATGATGAGGAGTTTGAGATGAGATAGATGTATCCCTATCTATTTCTGTGATCCAAGATCTTAGTTTTGAAATGTCAAGGACGACAATTTTTTTAGAATGGGAGACTTGTGACAACTCCATATTGCGCATTCAATTCAAACTATTTGACATGATTCGAAAGAGGTAATTGCTAGAATATTTATACTTTAAACCCTTCTGCATATGCTTGGGAATATTTGGTATGCATCATAAAGTTTGCATGTGTTATGGAGTGGGTCCCAAGGATCTCTTTTCATGTTTATAAAATTTGAATTGTCCTTCTGGGGCACCGTGACGCCGGGTTTAGAAGCGCTCCAATGTGAGAGTATCAGAAAGATTTACATTTAATTTTCACTCCAACGTGTGGTGGGTGCAATGGCTCTGTAGGTTTTCTAAAGAGTGCCATGGCCAGAGCCGTGATATTAGAAAATTTTTTATTATTTTAAAATATCTCAAGCCACTACATTCTATTCTTTTCATCTGAGGCCGCCAACTTAGAGAGGGAAAGGGAAATATCCTATAGAGAAAAGTCCTATTTGAGCCTCTTCAAGTTATTTTTTATTGTTGGCCTAGTTCTGAAAGTTATTCAGATCGTGATAAGTCACACCATGTCTATCTCATTTTTCAGAAATACAGAGATTTTCCAATTTTTATCTTGAGTTCGGGATACACTTTTTATCACACAACAAGTCTGATGCATTCCTCCACTTCAACCATCTAACTTGAATTATACTAATAATTTCCCCATCGCATATTCGCACACAAAAAAAAGTGATTACTTGTTTGCCCTCCATTAGCATATTCACATAAATGTGAGGGTTATTGAAACTCCTTTATTTTACCAAGAGGATTTCTATCCACCTACCTTTATAATTTCAATACTTGCCACTATAGGGGGTACAAGGGTCAAGGGACAAGTAGGTTGAGTTCTTAAGATAGAAAGGTAGTCACAAATTCAAGAGCAACAAATCTAGGAGGTTATGGATTTGAAGGCCTAATATATCCCATGCTACCCATTATGTGTTTTAAGTAAATTCTTGATCTATACTAGGTGGGGCTTAAAAAAATGTACTTCACGGAAAGCTTTTGTTCTCCTTGCTAAGGAGCTCATGTTCAAATTGTTCCTTAATTGAATGAGCCAAACATAAATAGATTTTCTTAATTGTGTTCAACTTATTAACTAGTCATATATATTTTGGAAGTAAACCCCACAATGAAACAAAGAAGGAAAAAGTAGAAATGAACAACATGATTTAATGTGAAAAAACCTGAAATCAAGAAAAAAAACTTACAGAGTCACACCACACCAAGAAATTCACAATGAAATTGTACAAATCTATTTTTCTCTCTCATTTTATGGCTTCACTTCTTCACTCAGTTTTGACACAAATAGACAAAAGACGCACTTTTAAAATATAAAGGGTCGCAATCCTTCATGTAAAACATGAAAAGAAAGAAAGAAAATTATCAAGCCCGAATCGTAGTCTTGCGACCCTTTAAACTGTGTACAATCGTAAGAATCAAGATCAGCCGTCCATCCAAACCACTCTCAATTTATCCTTGATCTTCCACTTATTTGCAAGACATGCCACTCAAGAATTCTATAAATAGAACCCCATTTCCTCTTGAAGGGGAGGAGGAAGGTAAGAGAGAAGAAGGAAGAGAAGGAAGAAAGCTCAAGCCGCCTAGCTCCTCCTCGACCACCGCCGAACCACCTAGGGACGCCAGGGTTCTGCCACACCACCGCCGGACCACCAAGGGACATCGGGGTTCTGCCACATCACCGTCGAAGTTCTGCCGCACCACCGCCGGACCACCAAGGGACGTCGGGGTTCTGCCGCACCACCGTCGAAGTTCTGCCGCACCACCGTCAAAGTTCTGCCGCACCACCGCCGTACTACCAAGGAACGTCGGGGTTCTGCCGCACCACCGTCGGAGTTCTGCCGCACCACCAAGGGACACCGGAGCTCTGATACAACATCGCCAGGTTATATCGAACCACCACCATACCATCTAAGGACGTCGAAGTGTCCTCCGAAGCCGGAGTGCCCCTTGACGCTGAAGTGCCACTGGCGAACCACCACTTGACACCGGAGTGTTGCCGGACCACCACCTGAGGCCTGAACTTCTCCCGGACCATCACCTGACCCTCAGAGTTCTGCCAGAGTACCGTCCTTCTACTACGGTCCTTCCGAACTCCCTCGCTAGACAACATCTTTTTGACTCCAATCTCCTGCCGACTACGGTCATTCCGACCTCCCTCGCAAGACAACGGTCTTTCTAACTCCGGTCTCCTACCGACTACGGCCCTTCCAACTTCTGTCGCCTGCTACGATCTTTCCGACCTTTATTCTATCAACTATGGTTCTGCCAACCAAACAAATATGTCTATATTGATGTGCTATATATGATGTACATTTGTGACATCAAGTCAAGGCCTTCTCTTAAAGAAGTGCCTCATTTGTAATTAACTGTAAATACTAGTGGATTAATTCAGACTGGGCCAGGCCCTGTGGTTTTTCCCCTTTTCGAGTGTTTCCACGTAAAAACTCTGGTCTATTATGAACGCTACACCCTCCATTTTTCTGCTTGTGTTCTAGATCATCGTACAAAGCTAGGACATTATATTTTATATTTCTCTACCGCCGCGAATATTTAAGGATGCAACAACAACTATAATATTCATGAAATTCTTTGAAAAAGCAGATGATTTCAAATACAAATAATATCGACGGAGCCAAACTAGACTAACCAGCCAGCTCGCTCAAACTAGTCTCACCGTTCATTGGTAAACCCTGATTTACCGTATTGCCACCGTTTTCCCGCGCTGCCACTAGAAGCACAAAATAGTTGCAAAATAGCCGTCCAGTTCTCACCCCAGAGAGGGAAAAATCGTTCTCAAACGGCAATCTTCGCGCCAAAATTTCGATCGAAAAGAAGCTCTCAATAATTGAAATTCAAAACCCTAACACTGAAATCAAGATCCCGCCTTTCAAACCCTTCAATCCCTCGCACCTTATCCTATTCGCCGTCACTATAACATCCGCCCATCAACTGCTCGATAAAATCTCCCAACCAGCCAGAGAGAACGTAAGATTCAGGATTTCCATCTATCAGAGATGTACGTGGTGAAGAGGGACGGGCGGCAGGAGTCGGTTCACTTCGACAAGATCACCGCAAGGCTGAAGAAACTTAGTTATGGCCTTAGCCAGGAGCACTGCGACCCTGTGCTCGTTGCCCAAAAAGTATGCGTTGGGGTCTACAAGGGAGTCACCACCACACAGCTTGACGAGCTTGCAGCCGAGACAGCTGCAGCCATGACGGCTAATCATCCTGACTATGCCTCGGTGATTATACTTTCTTCTCTATATTTATTCATGTCAAGGCTTGCCCTAGGTCTTTCTCCGTTCTCATCCTTTGATCTATTTCGTTTAGCTTGCTGCTAGGATCGCGGTCTCTAATCTGCACAAGAATACAAAGAAATCGTTTTCTGAGACGTAAGGGATCTATTTGACTGTTCAGGATTTTATTTTTTTCTTTGGATGTTATGATTTTATTGATATATGAATTTTGAATTGGTTGATCTGTACTCAGGATAAAGGATATGTACAACCATTTCAATGAGAGGTCGGGGCAAAAGGCGCCTTTGATTTCTGATGATGTTTATGAGATCATCATGAAGGTGAATTTTCTTGCTTGTTTCAAATGTTAATTTTGGTTTCTGATATGTTATTTTCATCAGGCTTCATGTTATGTTGATACTTTTAGCGCGTATCAGTATTTTAATCGTCCTTAGATACAGATGCTTAGTAAATCCCAGCAGGATATAGTAAACCTTTTTAATCCAGATTTAGTTAATCTTGAGCGGATTAAAACATGGCAGTTATTTAACATGATAACTACTAAGTTTTGATAAGCATGGATAAATTGTTTGCTATTTGTTTTATGATTTTAGATTTCTAAGCAAGTGAAAATTTTTAACACATTTAAATATTGAATTCTAAATATAATTTAGTCAGATTTATTATCTATCTTGCCAAGTAGTTTGTAGGATTCAATACTCCAATGATTTATTGAATTTGTATTCACAGGATTTACTATATCCTACTCGATATAAATCCTTCTTGTAGCCAAACAACCCCTGATTGTTGCTTTTCCATGATGTTATGGTGCCTTCGTTCTTCGCCAGATGGTGCCTATTTTGCTGGTCGTTGAATTGTTTATTTGATAATTTATCATTCCCAATTCTTTAATTGCAAAGCTTGGATGGCTTGCTCTCAGATTAACATCCTCATTAATATGCACATGCAGAATGCTACTCGTGTTGATAGTGAGATCATTTATGATAGAGACTTTGATTATGATTACTTTGGCTTTAAAACTCTCGAGAGGTCCTATCTTCTAAAATTATCTGGGAAAGTGGTGGAAAGGCCCCAGCATATGCTGATGAGAGTTGCTATAGGGATTCATAAAGAAGATATTGATTCTGCCATCAAAACTTATCATCTGATGTCACTACGGTGGTTTACTCATGCTTCTCCTACCTTGTTCAATGCGGGCACTCCTAGGCCTCAGGTATCCATCAAACTTGACTTCTTAGTTCATTTACTTTAACATAAGTTGATTTTGGGTTTGTTTGATTTGGCCAGCTAAGCAGCTGCTTCCTCATTTGCATGAAAGATGATAGCATTGAGGGAATATATGATACCTTAAAAGAGTGTGCTATAATAAGCAAATCTGCTGGTGGAATTGGCGTCTCCATCCACAACATTCGTGCCACTGGGAGTTACATTCGTGGGACAAATGGTGTTTCAAATGGCATAGTTCCAATGCTACGGGTTTTTAATGATACTGCTCGCTATGTTGATCAAGGAGGAGGGAAAAGGAAAGGTAGCATGGTCTTATTTCATTGGTTTATATACTAGTTAGCCATGATTATTAATTTTGTCCTATTCTTAATGTTCTAGGTGCATTTGCGGTGTACTTGGAACCATGGCATGCTGACATTTTTGAGTTCCTTGATCTTAGAAAAAATCATGGGAAGGTATGAGGTGCTACCACCTAGGCAGGAATTTTTTGTTTTTGATTTCTTGTTCTCAAGTATCGTAAATCTGTCACTGAAGCTACACTGATGGACTATGAAATTGAGGTGAACTTTATGGAATAAGAAAATGTAAAATTGTAAATCATTAATAGAAAGCTTACTAGATGATACCAAAGAGGATGTAAATAAATGAGAAGTTTGGGTAGAAAGAAAAAAATATTAAGAATAGTAATTTCAAACTCAAAATTCAAGAGGGACATTGAACTTTAAAAGCATTTTGAGCTTTACAGTTGATCAAACTTTATAAATAACATTAATAAAATTCATTCTATGGTGCCATGTTTGTAAAATGAGATTAATACAAGACATGAAGCCTTGGCTTTATGTATCAAATCAATGTGGAATGATTTTGAAGAAGTGTTAGATTTAAGATATCATGATTCTAAGCAGAACAATAAGCTTTGTGCAAAATGTATTTACATCTGTTTTGGTATGATTCATGGAATGATTATGAAGAAGTGTTAGATTAAAGATATCAAAACGTTGAACTTTAAAAGCAGAGCAATAAGCCTTTATGCAACACTCACTGATAATTATTGGCATGATTCATGGAAGTTGCCCATCCTAAATAAATGGCATATGGTTAATGATGGTTCAGTCATTACCTTGAAATGATTTGTTGTTTTCTTATTTCTTATGTGGTTCATGGTAAAAAAATAGGGAGATTTATGGACATAAACATTCAAATATATCCTATTCACTAAAATATCATCCATTCAAGCATAAAAAACTAGCAAATCCATGCACGAGCCACTAGCAAACTCTTGGGAATTTCATGAATGAGAAAAATATAAGCTGTTTCTTAGTTGTGAACCTTAATATTTGATTAAAATTTGACTGATAGAGGTAAGAGACTGTTTTTTTTTGTAACAATTCCTCAATTTAACTGAAATTACAATTAGATGTACCTTTAACTCTTGATAAATCTTATAGGAAGAACACAGGGCACGAGATCTGTTCTATGCACTCTGGATACCTGATATATTTATGGAACGGGTCCAGAGCAATAAAGAATGGTCACTTTTTTGCCCAAACGAAGCTCCTGGTTTGTCTGACTCTTGGGGTGAAGAGTTCAACAACTTGTACACAAAATATGAAAAAGAGGTTAACTAGCACTCCTTTATTTTTAATGATAAACTCTTACAGTTTGCACTGTTTAATAGAATATATTGTCTTAGTCATTGCTTTGGACCTATTCTAATTTTAGGGCAAGGCCAGTAAGATTGTTTCGGCACAAAGCCTATGGTTTGAGATTCTTAAATCCCAGATTGAGACTGGAACACCCTATATGTTATATAAGGTAGACTATTTAATTTTTCCATTATCATTTCTTTTAATCTGTCTGCTTTCCATCTCTTTCTCATTGTCCCACTTTCAACCTTCTATTTGAAGGATGCTTGCAATAGAAAAAGCAATCAAAACAACCTTGGAACCATAAAGTCTTCAAATTTGTGTACTGAGATAATAGAGTTCACCAGTCCCGATGAAACTGCTGTATGCAATTTGGCATCAATTGCTTTACCTCGATATGTGATGGAAAAGGTAAATTCTCCTTATCTATGCTTGCAAGTAGCTACCTTGGATTCTTAAGCTATTGCTATTTGCAGAATGTACCTATAGATTCACATCCATCAAAGCTGGTTGGAAGCATTGGAGCGAAAAATAGATTTTTTGATTTTGACAAGTTAGCTGAGGTGCCACAACTTTTTGTTTCATTCAAAACTTTTTTTTACACTTTTATCAATAATCTCATAATCTTCTTCTCTTCTTGTCCTTGAAGGTGACTGAAATAGTTACACAGAACCTCAACAAGATAATTGACATTAACTATTACCCAGTTGAAACAGCTAGGAGATCTAACTTACGCCATAGGCCAATTGGCATTGGCGTTCAAGGCTTGGCTGATACTTTCATCTTACTTGGCTTAGCTTTTGATTCAGCGGAGGTAAGTGCATATCTTTAAAATTGTCCTTAGTTGAATATGTTGTTTTGATGGTTAATCATTATTATTATTATTTTTTCTTTAGGCCCAACAATTGAACAAGGACATTTTTGAGACCATATACTACCATGCTTTGAACGCTTCTTCTCAACTTGCTTCCAAAGAAGGCCCATATGAAACATATCAAGGAAGTCCAATTAGTAAGGTCTGCAGTAAAAAAAAACTTTGATTTATGGGCTCATTTGTTACTTTAAGATCGAAAACTTTAGGAAATGAAGATTTTGTTTTTATTCATTTTTATTATGAATTTGAAATCATAATATGCAAGAGGTTTTGAAGCTGTTTGTTGAGTTTAGGATTTTTGGATAAACATAGATTTTTAAACATTATATCAAATTATGAAATTTACTAAATTCATTATATTTTAAAAACATTTTTTCTAACTTGAAGCAATCAAATGGCCCTAAGACAATCCAACTCTTTATTTAATCTCATCATGTTTATATATATTTGCATTCAATTTTACCAAGTTAACATGCACATTTGTTGGAATTTAAATTGCAGGAAACCTTGTTACAATAACAAGTGAAACTAAAATTATATACATGCAAGGATTTACTACATTAGATATACGGATCAGGTGTACGGGATTATTTCTCTCAAAAACTGGAAAAACAAGTTAAAGCACCTCTGCAAAAATAATATTTGTTTGAAAAAAAAAAACAAATAAAAAACAGAACAGAATTCTAAATATCAAAAGGTTTTACACATTAGATGAGTATTCAAGAGCATCATGAGTTATAGGACACTTCGTTAGATTTATTTTTACATTGTCCTATCTGTGTCATGGTATCTGATTGAAGCTGTTCTGTAGGGCATTCTCCAACCGGACATGTGGAATGTAATCCCTTCATCCCGGTGGGATTGGCCTGCTTTGAGAGAAAAAATTGCTAGGAATGGAGTAAGAAACTCCCTTCTTGTTGCTCCAATGCCCACTGCTTCTACTAGTCAGATTCTTGGAAACAATGAGTGCTTTGAGCCATACACATCGAACATCTATAGTCGCCGGGTTTTAAGGTCTGCCTGTTCTGTTTGTGTCATCCCTTCGCAAATTTCAGGCTATCCTAACAGTAATATATACTTGGCTTCTGCAGTGGAGAATTTGTTGTAGTGAACAAGCATCTTCTAAATGATTTAACTGAGATGGGTCTCTGGTCTAGTACTCTTAAAAACAAGATTATTTATGAAGATGGTTCCATCCTTAAGATTCCAGAAGTTCCAGAGCACCTTAAGGCAATTTACAAGTACTGTATTATTCTTATTCCCCTATTTTGTGGATTATAACAAGTTCCTATTCTATGATAAAAAATTAACATAAATGTTTGATCAGAACTGTGTGGGAGGTAAAGCAAAGAACCATTGTTGACATGGCTATTGATAGAGGATGCTACATTGATCAGAGTCAGAGCTTAAATATTCATATGGATCAGCCCAACTTTGGAAAACTGACTTCTCTACACTTCTATGCCTGGTCTAAGGTACAATGTCAAATCACATTATATCCCCTTTGGTTTATATTTATCAGGGCTAATCCTTGGAACATTTTTTTTTTTTTTTGATTGAAGGGTCTTAAGACAGGCATGTATTATCTCCGTTCGCGCGCAGCAGCTGATGCAATCAAGTTCACAGTCGATACATCTCTTCTCGCAGTAAGCTTTGGTTGTTTATCTTCATTCTATGTTTTCCTGGTTTTTTATCTTCGCTTGTTAATTTAGTTCTTTTCTCGATGCATGCAGAAGAATGAACAAGCAATGGAAAATGGCGTAGAAGTTGGCATGGCACAACTTGCTTGTTCTTTAGAAAATAGAGATGCCTGCATGGCTTGTGGAAGCTGATATCACTACTTTGCTTCGACTATCTGTGCATTCAGAAGTCCTCGCTGATGTGACTTACTTCCTGTAAGTCCAAGCTGCAGCTCATCTAGTCTCTTCCATGGAGTCATTGTTCAATTGCTAAAACTTAAATTATGTTGTTCTTAAAGTAGTCCATCTTTAAAATGGCATTTAATTGTATTTTACATTAAGTATGGCCTCTTTTGGCCCTTTAGCAAATGCATTTCTCCCTTGGAAGTTGATATTACTCTTTGTTTTGATCGCTAATTTTTTTGTATTAAAATATTTGAGTGTATTAGATTTAGTTTTACATTAAATATGTGGAAGTTATATTGGCGTAGGAATATTAATTGGTTCTCACTTTAAGCTTGCTTTTCAAGTTGAAAATGGGTTTCATCATTAGTATATTAAGACTTTGTTTGGAATTTTAGCCATTTTACTGTTTTGTTTTTTAGATTGTAATGTGTTTTTTTACGGCTTTCAAAAAGTTTATGTTAGAAAATTGTTATATTTAATATTTTTTTAAAAAATTATTTTCTACAGTAGTTTTATAAAGCATTAAGAAAATATTAAACCAGTTCATTGGACATTTAGACTGGTCCAGCTGGTCCCATAGGGACTGATTCATGCGGATAGAGGTGGGATTTCTTCGCCTCTCCTGTACATCGATTCAGCTGCTGAAGCTAGCTGAGTAGATTTGGAAGGTTTTTGGGGGAGTTAGGAGGGAAATTTGAATGTAGGGATTGTTTAGGGATTTCCTTTTGATTTATATGCATTAAATAGTTTGCTTTCCTAGGGTTAGTGCATCTTGAATTTGGCTTAAATTTGATATCTCTTAGATTTAGGTTTTCCTTTGGGCTCTAGCGGTGTCTAGATATTTGGGAGAGAGATTCTCCTTCAAATAGAGGATCAATTGTATCTTGGTATTTTTTGTTTCCCTTTCATCAAATAATACTTATTATCTATTGTTTTCGTGGTTTGGTGTGGATTTTTGTGTAGAATTCTCCTTGTTTTCTGAAGATTGATAGGAAATACTTGAATCTACAAGTGTTTCCTATCAGAAAATTATCTAAAATGAAACCTAAATTCAATTCTAATAATCTTTTTGTCCACAATTTGAGTCAAATGTGTGGTTGAGATCAAGTTGTCCTTGGGATTTATGACTTTTATGCCTTTTAGTGATATATACGCCACATTGATTGAGGTTCAAGTGGATGTGAATCCGATCATGGTTGTGTTTGAGTGGTTTCTTATTGCAAATTATGTAATTAGCATAAAACGATTTGATGGTTGATTTGGAGAGCTCCTGCAACTCATAAATTTACCAAAATATATGATGAAATTTTTTGGTTTAGTTCCACATTCAACGATTGAAAAGTTTATTGTCCAAATCTCACTACTATCCCATTCATATATAGTTCTAAATTGTTTTGGCTGCAAATTGCTTTGACTATTGTTAAATAAAGCCAAGCATCTGCATCTTCTTTGATCTGTAAAGTCTTCGTTGATCCATCCCTATCAGAAGACCTTTATGTCTCTTTTCCAGATCAGCTTCTGCTCTGCAAATTCTCAGAGATTTAAAAAATGAATTGGACTTCAGTTCAACTCTCACTTTCTTGCCCAGTTTGCTTCATCCTCATCGAAGACTTTCAATGTCGTTGTGAAGAAAAAGAAGGCGTTTGGTATGATAAAAGCATGGTTGATTGAATAGTAAACAGTATTCTTGAATATGGTCTTCAAACGTGATGGCTTTGATCTTAGTAGGTTTGGTTCAAAGAGGACAAGTGATGTCTTTTGGTCTAAATTCTGTACCTAATGTGAGATTGTTCAATTGTGTGATAGACCAAAAACTCTACCTTTGAAACTTGTTCTTGTCGCAGGTCAATAGTAGTGATTGAGGCTTCGTTTGTGATGATTTTTTTATTGCTTCTTAAAGCTGTTTTTTAGTATTTCTTTTTCAATTGAAAGTTGTTTTAAGAAGCAGTTAAAAAATCGCCCCAAATGAAGTCTAAGGCTTCATTTGGGATGGTTTTCTTTTTGCTTCTTAAAGCAACTTTTTAAGACAAAATTTAAAATTTTGTATTAGAAAGCTGTTTTAAGAAGCAGGAAGACAACCGTCCCAAACGAAGCCTAAGCGCTATTTATGCTTGCTTTTTAGGTTTTGTTCGAAATAAGTTTCTTAATGCTTTTTAAAATAGTTTTTTCGTATAAAAATATTTAGAATTAAATTTTTTTTATCAAAAAAGTTATTTTAGAAAGCAATAATAAAATTGTCAGAAATAAATTATTATTATTATTCAATGCGCACTTGCATAGTAAAGAATTCTAACACCAGCACTTACAGAGTCTGACCTTGACATTCATCCATTTGAAGGGGGGTTAGTTTTTCAACATCTTATTGATTAATCAACTCAATTGGGTCAATTAAAGGTATTATTATATTTAATGGATAAAATGTAAGAAGTAGAATAGAGTTGAGAGATTTATTTGAACATGGATAATCTTAACTTTGAATTTTTTTAAAGAAATTAAAAAAAAAAAGAGTAGAAGGTTTTACTTTTAGTTTCTCAGCACCCAAAATTGACTAAATGAAATTGGGTCAATATATTATGATTTGAATTTAATTTCCTATGTAAGATTTTTTGTTTCATTCAACAACCATTCCTTTTTGCTCTATAAAATAATGTTTATTTTTTAAAAATTAATTACTTTTGAATGTTTTGATAATTATTTTTATATTTTAGAAAATATCTTATTATTAAAAAATAGAGTCAAATGACCATGGAGCTTATCCACCTTGAAACCCAAGCACACTCGCCTCTTTTTGCAAGGTGATATTAGGGGTGTCAATTTTTGACATGACTTGAACCCGATCTAGAAAAATTTGGGTTCGGGTCAACCTGAACCTAAAACAGGTTGGGTTCGGGTTCAACAAATCAACCTATTTTAAAAATCGGGTCGGGTTTGGGTTGACCCAGCAACCCGAAATTGACACGAAAACTCATATTTGACCTGAAAACCCAAGATTAATCTGTTTTTTACCCGAAAATCAAAGATTGACCTGATTTTTGACCTAAAAACTAGCAATTTTGGGTCAACCCCGAGTCATTCGTGTCTGGTCGGGTTGACCCGGACCCGAATCGGGTCGGGTTCGGATCCGAAAACCTGACCCGTTTTTAAAAATGGGTCGGGTTTGGGTTGACCCGAATAATGCCGGTTCAGTTCCTGGTCAACCCGACCTGACAGTTGGTCGACTTCGTTCATCCGGCATTCCCTGCCGCCGGACCGGAAGTTACAACATTTCAACGACATTTCGCCTGCGAGAAATGTCGAGCAATACCGAGCAAATACCGAGCAATACGGAGCAAATACCGAGTAGTACCCAGCAATACCGAGCAAATATCGCGCATATTCGTTTCGGGTTGGGTCGTCGGGCCGCGCGGTAAAGAGTAAGAGTATGTGGTGATAAATTATAGGCTACCTGATGTATCTTTACGTCAGATAACCTGAGGCAATAAAATATCCGATTGCAGGCTGCAAAGGGGTTGATCGGGTTGGGTGGAAGGACTTGTTGGCGGCCTGTGTGAAGTGTTAGGAGAAGGTTGCGGGAATTCTAAACGGGATCAAGCTGTAGAAAACAGAGAAACAAAAGAAACAATTAATTAGGCTTCGTTTGGAATTTTTATTGCGTCCTCCCACCTGACGTAGAGATACGTCCTCCTACCGCCAAAAAACTCGGTTTTTGCTCGGTATTGCTAGGTATTATTTGATAATAATGAGGAATATCATCATGTGAAGACCAATACCGAGCAATACAAAAAAATACCGAGTTCTTTCTAGGAAAAACTAGGTATTTTTTTGTATTTCTCGGTATTGCTCGGTATAACTCGGTATTGGTCTTCACATGATGATATTCCTCGTTTTTGTTTGGTATTGCTCCGTATTTCTCATTTTTTAGCGCGAATTTAGCTCTGGGAGGACGTATCTCTACGTCAGGTGGGAGGACGCAATAAAAATTCCTTCGTTTGGCCTCATTTTAACGACGGGAATAGCATTTGATTGAGGCAATTTTCGGGATTTATGTAGGATTTCTGGGGATTTGAACATAGAACATGCACAAAACATCCAACGTAGTCTCTGATTGAGTTGATTTTCTTTTTAATATGTTTAATTAATTAATTAATATTAATAATAATTTTAAAACAACAGAGGAAAATGAGGGGAGGATTTCATTTTGTTCTTAATCTGCATGCCATCGTCTTGTTTTGTATGTCGATTTCCTTGTTTTGCGTGTCAATTTCCACATTTTGCATGTTGATTTCCCCGGGGGAGTTTCTTTGGACAAAATTATAGATGATTTTGGATATTATCGACATTTCGAACGCAACGGCAAAGTCCGTTTTATGATCGAACGCCATTTGGGTCACTTCACGCATTAATTTTGGATGTTGGTCAACATTTATGGCCTTTCTCGACTAATTTGGTGGCGAGAGATTTTCACTTAGGTGAATTCAACATTTTGATTGCAACGGCGCAGTCTATTTGGTAATCGAGGTCATTTGATCCTTCAAGTGACACGTCACGCCCGCTGGCCGTCACTTAAGTTACCAATTTTTGCTCCTTTCGCACGTTTTGAATGTGTGGGTCAACTTTAAGTTTTATGAACATAACAAGTTGCAGATCGGCAGTTGATTTGTCTTCATGATTTAAAAAGTAATTTAAGTTTCATTTTGGATAATTTTCTTAATGCTTTCTAAAGGAGCATTTTAGTACAAAAATTTCGAGTTCAAAGTTTTTTTTTACTAAAAAGCTGTTTTACTAGAAAGTTGTTTTTATTAAAAAAAATGGTACCAAACAAAACTTTAGCCTTTTTATGATGTGTTAGTGTGTATTTGGCAAATTACATTTGACAAATAACCAATTTTATTTCACCATCTTGTGTTTAAACTTGTTATTAACTTATTATAACTCTCTTTCTCTGTGGGATTCTCCCACATTTTCTCTGATGTCTTAATACCTTAAAAATATAAATGATTCTTTTTCTTAAATCTTTCTTCTGGGAATCATTTTTTAGGAAGCCAACTGTCTAAGCAGATCAATTTTTAAACTAATTGTAATGCACATGTTAGAAAATTTATGAAAATATTGGATAATTTTATATCTTAGTTTTATACGAAGTTCTTATACACACTAACAAATAAAAATAAAAATATACATAGAAGACATTGTAGTTTTTCAATAAAAATT